TCAGACGACGTCGTTTGGGAACTGCATGATACTATAAATGCAGCTTGTATGTACGGATTTTGTGTGAAAAAAATGAAAATGAAAATTGTTTCTTAGCTCATTTTATCACATCTAGGGCCTCACACTGACTAGACTAGAAAAATCTATTACAACTTGAAATAAAAAATAAATTACACAACAAGGTTTATTTACTACTTACAGATGTTTTGATTGATTCGTCGCCTCAGTTGGAATTGCTGCTGCTAAACTTCCATGGCAGCAGCAAGATGCCTCAGTTGGAATTGCTGCTGCTAAACTTCCATGGCAGCAGCAAGATTTTCTTTTGTCCTATAAAACACCAAGATATTCCATATTTTGCCGAACAAAAAACATTACTCAAATAATGAATAGCACATTCTTACTCACAGAGGGCGGGCCCAGTCAAAGTGAGCTAAGGGCCCAAAGTCGCGAATAGTATTCGTTGCTTGCAAGGAGTGCACGAGCTGACTGACGAGCTGTTAGTATACGGTGCATTTGTTGAAAAGTCTTTCCACAAGTTATCAGCCTGAAAAATCATCAGCTTCTTGATTTGAACCCGTTGAATATGAAAACGAGTCGTGCAAATTGAAAAACTCATATTGATATAATAATAAACTTATGAAGCCCCACAGAGTTCCCAACTTGCCAATAGCCATTGCGATTTGAACCATTTCTGGATAAAAACAACTGCACGGCTAAATGGATGTACCCCAAATTATAAATACAACAGTTTCGCTATTCGAATTTTCTGTTTAAACTTCTTCACGTCAGACTTAGAGCTCGTGAGACTGAGACCCCTAACAACAGCCTTTTGGTCTGCTTTTAGCGTCCTACATCCATCCCTAATGCAAGAGAGCAAGAGCTTAGCAGCCAAACGGTACCTCCTGGCTTTGCAAAGGTTATGAACCACTGAAGAATACGTAAACGAATCCTTTGCATCCATCGTGTCAAAAATCCGCAGCGCGTAATCCAAATGACCTGCTTTACATAGACTATTCACAAAGCAATTAAAAGCAACCAAACAATCGAGCCCCATCATTTTCATATGATCCAAGTGTCTCTGTGCGACATCTATTTCGCCAGCCTGGCAAAGCCCGTCGATCAAAATAGTATGCGTGTAGGCATCACAATTCTCACCCCTTTCTTCAGCCACACCCACCAAATTATACGCCTTTTCAAGTTCACCTTCTTTGCAGTGCCAATTTATTAATGTATTATAAGATACTAAATCGAGCTCGTAACCTTTCTTAATCATACTCGCAATGCACTTATTCGCGTCCTGCATTCTTCCCGATTTCAACAATGCACCAACAATTGTGCAGTAAGAGAACAAATCGTACACGTACCCATCTCTCTTCATCTCCATGAAAATCTCAACTCCCTCTCTAAACCTCCTGCTCCTAAAACAGCATTTCATGACAGTCGTGTAAGTAATGGCATTCGGGCTACAGCCCGATTCCCTAAGCTCCACAAAAAGCCTCATCACATCTTTCCACATTCGCGAGCCGCACAAACTACTCAAAAGGATGTTGTATGTTACTATCTCAGCAACATACCCGTGTCGCTGCAAATTACGAAATAACCTGAGGGCATTGTTAATGTACCCGTTTTTACAAAGCCCGTTTATCATAATATTGAACGTGGCCTGACAAGGGGTAATATTCTTCATGAGAATATCATGAAAGACACGGTAGGCCTCGTCGGCCTTTCCCAGTTTGAAAAGACAGTGCATCAACGTGTTGTAACTCCACACATCGGGAATAATTCCCGAGTCGAGCATCTCGTCTAACATGTCGAGGCATTGAGGTAATAAGTCGTGTTTGGCTGCACCAGCCATTAAGGAATTGTAGGTCACGACATCTGCGGATATTCCAGCTTCTTTCATGCGGTGGATAATGGAATAGCCGGCATCGAACCCGATAATTTGGCAGTATCCGGTTATGAGTGTGTTGTAGGTCACGGTATTGGGCAATACCCCTAATCTAATGCCGTCTATTAGGGCAGATTCAGCTTTTTCGAGGTTCTTGGCTCGGCAAAAGGAGGCTATGGATATGTTTAGCAACTTGGTGGATAGTCTAAGGAAGGGTCCCCTCATCAGATATGATATCAGACCTCAAACAACCTCAAAACAGAATCATATTAGATGATTCTTTGTAAACTGCAGGGAATTAACAAAGAGGGCACAACTAATCAGGCAGAGTTCCAAATGATGAGGAAACTGCAGGGCAAAGATGGAGTCTTTAACAGAGTTGGAATCAGAAATTTAAAGCTTGCCTTTAAATGCCAGCTAGTGACTGCATTTTACAGCTGCTAAAAGCTGCTAAAAATCAGATAATATGACCGTGCGGATCAGAATCAAATGAAAAGTCCGCCATTGGCTCAGCTTCCCATCGGCACTACAGATACCACAACACATCGATAAATCCGTAAATAAAAACATTTTACTTGGACGATTCAAAGCAGCCAATGTGTTGGACAAAAAAACATTCAGCTTGATTCCAAAGGAAGCTTGTGCGGGTGAGACCCTTTCAATTCGAAAGTGTTCGACAAAATGCCGAAGAGAAAAATGGCAAACTTCTACGACGGATAGGTAAACACTTTCATCAGTTCAACAAATGATTGTGATAAAAGAGAACATGGAATTACACGGGTTTGTCGGTCAACAAACCGAGCTTCGCCACGACGACTCCATTTTAGCTGCCTGTTTAAGCTTATCAGACAATACGGCTTCTCCTCGCGAACACAGCTCGAATTGAATTGAGAGAAAAAAAAAAAATTATACCGTGCAATTTTTATTGATATGTCGTGAAAAGGCCGGAGAAAGGGATTGGGGTTTGCTATTGTCGAGATACGTTGGTGGGCCGAACCCATTGAACGCTCTTTGCTTTGAACAATTAAATTGGGCCGTCCGAGAAAATCCCAACCCAGCCTTTACTTATGTGCAGCAGAACAAATAGCTTCATCCATGTTTGGACAAACAAACAATACGGCAAAATTTTATCTTTTTTTTTTTTTGGTACAAGGCAAAATTTTATCTAACATAGTGTATTGAGTAATTTTCTCAAACAAGGCAAAATTTTATCTATACTGATTTGAAAATATTTGTAAATATGTCATAGTCAAATTTTGTATTACATCCCTACATAATTATTGGGAATTAATTGCCAATATGCTAAAATTGCAGTTACCACCCCTGAAAAAAGATAACACATCTCTATCTTATAGTTGGCATAATAATTGACGATTTCCTTTAAAAAAATTAAAAATTAAAAACACATATGGTAAATCAACATACCCTAATAATGAGTTTGTTCACTAGAAATAGGAAACATAACTAGTTTAAATTTCAAACGAACTTAGCGTATAACTATTTACAAATCTCATAATCCTAAATATATATTTCGCCAAATCAGGTATTTTTGTACATGTCGAACTGCTTTTGTTTATTTTTAAGCTTCGCACCGTGTTAATACCGTATATTAAATATATATGTTCTGTTATTTTTCTTGTGTTTTTTCTGTATACATAATATATACAAAATATATACAGAATATATACAAAAAATATTTAAGTCCGAAAAATATACGAAATAACCTGGTAATTTTATCTTTTCGTAATCATTTTTTGTTTCACGATCAGACTTATATACATAAGATATACTCATTATATACTCAACATATACATATGATATATTCACTGATTATAAACGAAACATATATACTAAATAACAGTGTATTTGTCGGGAACATATACAGAAGATATACTAGTTGTATACATAGGACAGAGGGCACCAGCAGCCAGAGGGCTTTCCGCATTTGAGTAGCCTTCGAGCAGCCCATCGCGAACACTTTTCTCCTGTTGAAGAGACCACCGGCGACGACCCCGCATACGAACAACACCATGCCAGAGAGCCGAATATTTCTTCACTTTCACTCAATTCGGCTTGAATTTCATCCTCGAAATCCGAATCTTGCGACTTTATAATTTATATTTTTTTCTGATCGACCCAATTTTTTGTCGAACTGCAATTTCTTTGTACAAAGGGTTGGGTGCCTGTTAGATTTGATATTCCTTAGACGGGAACTCGACCTCCGATGAAGTGAACTTCCGGCTCCGATGGATGGGCTTCTTCCAAATTTAGTCTTTGCCATTGTTGTTGAGCTTCAGAGGAGATAGGGTTCGGTGTTGACGATGTAGTGTTAATGGGAGAGAGATTAATTATGTGAGAGAATCTTATTACCATATTACTTTTCTGGCAGATCTGCAAATAAAAAGTATAATTTGATTAATATTGCTAATATTTATAATTTGAGATTAATTGTGTAATAAAAAGTCAAATACATAGTGTATTGAGTAATTTTCTCAAACAATTATTCCATTTAGTTTATTGGACGAGCCGAGCTCATTACAAACAACTCGTTCATTTATTATTTATTTATTTTATGAGTCTCAAACAAAGAGTCGAGCCAAGTGTATTTATAAATGATATTTGCAAACATTTCGTTTACAATTTTGAATTTATCGAACGAGCCTAGCCGAAGTTTCACGAGTTTAAACGAGTTGATCTCGAGCCTTTGGCTACTCTATTAATCGAGCACGAGTAAAAAAATAAAATGCTCAGCTAGACTCTTAACACAAATAACACCTCTTCCTAGTTGCAAATTAGTCAATTTTAAAATGTACTATTATAAAATAGAGTTAAGAAAAAATAATTTTTTGGTAAGTAAATTTCCCTCCAAAACATTTCGAAATTCTATGTGGTTAGTTCAAATTTTTTGGTTTTTCCCACCTAAATAAAATTTTTGATTTTGCAATTGATATATGGAAATTTGATTTGATTGAGATTACACTTCCTTTTTTCTGCCTATTCTTACTCCTTTTGTTTAGGCTTTTATTTGTTACCTTTTGTTTACATCTGATTTTTTATTTTGACGCACGTTTTATTTGTCTTGATTTTTGTTTTTTTATTTGATGTGATGAGATTTGGTACATAAAAGATCTCACAAAATCTGGAGAAAAAAAGGATTACAAATATATTTCAAAAATCCTATATAAAGCTATTATCCGTTTTTCACACTTGCTTTTTCACTTCTCCTCCCAAATCATCCTATAAAACACAGAGACAGACGTGCTTAATAAATTAAAATAACAATGCGACCAATGTTTGACAGGCTCCACGCGGTTACAAGGGTGAACAAGCTTTTTTTGAAATTAAAAGCAATTCTAATTGTTGATATCGATTACGAATTGGAGATAAGGAACTTCTTTGCTATCATGTTTGAAGATCAAGAGGTAATTTTTTCGATCCTATATGTATAAATTACACTCTTATGAATTTAATTAATTTACTTTTTACAACTTCATATTGTAAGGTGCACAAATAAGTGGGTTGATACGTTACAAACAGTTAAGCTTATTCCGACATGTCTGTAAAGAAGGCGACGTGTATTGTCTCGCCAACTATGGATTGAAGCCCAATAATCGGCGGGAAAGGGCAACCCAACACGTTTGGAAGATTGTGTTCATGAGTATTACACGCGTGATGAAATGGAATGGAAGTTTTCCATGAACCTATATAATTTTGTAGTTTTAGATCCATAATAAATAGTCCTATTGTATTTTTTTATAATTATGCGATAATTTTATATGAAATTCCTTTTTTTTTTATTGCATGTCGATTATTATCATGTTAATTTTTTATTCAAAATATATGAATTTATTATATTCTAATTGTTGTTCATGTAATGTATATTCATTTATATAATATTAACACATTTTTACCTTTTTAATTCGAATATTTGTTTATTTAAAACAAATAAATTAATGTAAAATTTTTAAAAATATAAATTAAAATTAATTTTAAATAAATCAAATTAATATTAAATTTTAAACAAAATAAATTAAAAAGAATTTTAAACAATTTCACTTAATGTGGATTCTTACCAATGGGGTCGCAAATAAATTCTTACTTTTTTTCGTTATTTAATTAGAATAGTCCATACTTATTTTAATCAATTCCACTTAATGTGGATTCTTAAAAATATATGTGAACACATATCCAAATTCTTTCACGGTATCTAAAAAATGTAATTCAAATTTAATTTAAACAATTCAACTTAATAAGGATTCTTAACAATTCCATTTTTTATTTCTTATTTGAATAATTAAATTCAAAATTATTTTATACAATTTCACTTAATGTGGATTCTTTAACAATCTTATCCCAATTTACTTCCTTTGTTTCAGGATACTATTTGGAAGAATCTTAAGTTGAAAAATCTGATTTTTTTACTCCTTAATTAAAAAATGTGATGCAAAATTATGTTATACAATTTCAATTAATATGGAATCTTTAACAATCTTATTGATCACAAATTCTGACTTTTTTTTCCTAACATCCGATTTTTTTTTTCTTATTTGAAAAATATTTATTTAAATTTAATTTAACAATCCCACTTAATGTGGATTCTTTATAATTTTGATTTTTTTTCCTTATTTAAAAATTTGATGCAAAATTATCTTACACAATTTCACTTGACGTGAAATCCGATTTCCTTACAACTAACTTTGGTTTTCATTATATAAACACCCTACTCCTCAATAAAATATTTAGCGAGTATTTGAAACACGTTAGTACGAAATAGAGGAAAACAATTAATCGAGAGTTTGATATACTCCAAGCCGTTACTAGGGCAAATAAACCTTTCTTGAAATTAAGAGCAACTTTAATTGTTGAAAAAAAACCACTTAATGAGGAGAGAAGAAGGTTTATGGAGATCACTTTTCAAGATCAAGAGGTAATATTTTTCGATTGTTAAGTATTATACTCTTACGAAATTTAATTAATTTATATTGTACATAAAATATATTTGTAGGTTGCAGAAATACTTCATTTTCGTATTTATCTAACCTACCTAATAAATACTTCAAAATTTTCATTTAACTTTTAACAGATGAAAATAATAATTCTACATATGTGATTTCTCACGTATGATAAATGAATACAATATTGCAATAAGTAAGAGTTAATGTCAATCGTTATAAGACAATTGGTCGGTTTCTGAAGAAACCAATGTTTAGGGTCAACTGTATGTTGTTTCCCGCGTTATGAATCGTCAGAGTTTGTGGTGAGGACGATTTGCCAAGAACCCAAACCACAAATGTTGTGTACTAGGAAGTGTTAAATAATTTATGTCATTTTTTTTCAAACACGTGAACGTAAAATCACCACTTAAAATTGTTCCCCGTGCATCGCACGGGATTCGTACTAATAATAAATAAGCAAAAAAAAAAAGCCTTTCCTTCAATACCGTATTACTGTATAAAAATTATAATAAGCTTAAAGCTTTTCAGAGGAAAATTACAACCAAAAACTCCTAGGAATTATCAAATATTTTACAACACGCATTAATGGTTGGAGTAAATGGATGCAAAACTTCAACATAAATGACTCTACAAGACTATAGCTCTGGTCTCATTTCGAGATGAAATAAAGAGAACCCAAAAAAAAAAAAAAGTGACCTACAGCTAAATTATAGTACTCCCTCTTATTTTTAATAAGTGTCGTTTTGATAAATTACACATTTATTAAGAATATTTTTTTTTTATCAATAATAACCTTCATTAATAACGATAGAAATGACTATTTTGAGAAAAAACAATTAATAAATATGAAAAGACGTAGTATATTTATTAGTTAAATAATAATGATAATAAAAAATATATATAAAATATTCTGAGATAGTAATTTTTTAGTTTTCTCAAACATCGAGGTAGCTATACAATTGAATGCAATACAACTGTTTTATTAAAGTGTATGCATTGCATTGTGATAATCTAATGTGATATTATGCCACACTTTGTGTAATGCCATATATCTTCCAGCTAGCAGTTCCGTGAGCTAATTGAATTCTTGTTCACCTTTCACTGTTTCGCGCATACACACACACACACCAAAATAATAAAAATAAAAATAAAAATAAAATCATTTCTATTAATCTTCTCATTATTAATCATCATCAAAAGGAGCATATTCAATTTGCATAATTATCTACACAAACATTAAACCTTTATTTTTCCATTTAAGATGGGGAAAGACATTCTGGATTACGTGCTGGTGCCGGCGGGGCTTGCGGTGATGATCGCCTACCACTTGTGGCTGCTCCGGCAGATCATCCGCCGTCCCTCCACCACCGTTCTCGGCGTTAACGCCGTCAACCGCCGCCTGTGGGTTCGCGCCATGATGGAGGTACACCCAATTTAATCTCTTTATATAATTAAATAACTAGTAGTATATGTTTTAAATTACCATAAATTTAATTACATACTCCTATCATTAAATTGGAGAATCAAAGCAATTTAATCAAAAATTACAACCGCCGTCTGTGGAGTATGTTTTAATTACCATAAATTTCTGACTGTAATTTTTGTTTGTTTGTCTGTGCTTCGTTTATGAGACTTGAAATTTGATCCTACTAAGGCTGAGCTGCTGTTCCCCATTTTCTTTTGTCGTATGTAAATAAAGGTTAATTAATTTGCAATTCATTGATTTTTTTTTTTTTCGTATTTATTACTCCCAATAGTAAAGGAGGCTGATTATGATATTAATTAGCACCTTTCATATGTCACATTTCCAAGAGAAATATGTCCACCACTTTTTTGGGAAACAAAGGCGTTTTAATTAGAGATCAAAAGTTTGGAAATGACTAAAATCCAATACATTTCACTATATTTAATGATAGAAACGGGGATACAGTGCGATCTAAGCACGTGAAGCGCACCATAGCAGAGTATGCCTAAATGAAGTCCAAGTGAGGTTCAATTTACTAAACCAATTAGTGAAAGACGGAGTAGCCCACTAGCACTACGTTTATAAGTTGGGCTTATTTTTCTTGTATAAATGATGTGAGACAATTCACAAGTGATATTCTAACACGCATCTCACTTGAGAGTTCTTTATACGAGGCCCAAGCCTAACTGGGTTGGGTGACGGGTACGTCATCGCACGGTATCACATAGAACCGACTCTGATACCATGAAATAAACGGGGGGTTACGAGTGCGGTCCCACGCACGTGAAGTGCATCATAACAAGATATGCCTAGATGGAGCCCAAATGAGGTTTCAGCCCAAGCCTAACTGGGCTGGGTGACGGTACGTCATCGCACGGTACCACGTAGAACAAACTCCGATACCATGAAATAAACGGGAGGTTACGAGTGCGGTCTCACGCACGTGAAGCGCATCATAACAGGGTATGCCTAGATGGAGCTCAAATGAGGTTCCATTCCAAAACCAATTTGTGAAAGAAGAAATAGCCCACTAGATTTATAACTGTGTTTATTTTTTCTGTAAACGATGTGTAACAACTCACAACTGATGTGATATTCTAACATTTAACTATTTAATAATACAAATACACTCAAGTACTGTTTTCTTGTCCTTAATATATGTAAATAAATTAAAACAACAAATAAAATGAAAATGGATGGACTAAAAAGCCATTTTTTTATGTCCAAAATGACACCCACTTTGTGTGTTTTTTTTTTTTTTTTTTAATACCCATGACCAATTAAGCAATTTCACATTTCCACACTCACAATTTGGTCAAAATAGTTTAAAATTGAAAGGAACATCAATAATATCTTTATACTTCACAATGCAAAATAAAAACATTATATTTGTACATATACAATGCAAAATTGAACATTTATATTATAAAATGTTATATTTTATTTATATTGTATTCGAAATATAACATTTCGAACATTTACATGCAAGAGCATTTATTAGGTCGTCCAACATAAAACCTAAAAATATGTACCAAGACAGCTTAAAACGAGTCGCCACCCTTTATGATTAGGTTGTCTAACATAAAACCTAATAATATGGGTACACAGGACACATCGAAAAATGTGCTGGCCTTCCAGACCCTCTATGATTAGGCCGTCTAACATATGACCCGATAATATGTACCACGACACTAAGCCACTAAAATATGGCACGATATATATGTACCTAGGCACAATGAAAAACAGTGTTCCGGCCATCCAAACCTTTTCTGATTAGACAACGAAGCGCAGCTTAGTAGTAAGACGCTTCACCTATGACCGATAGGTCATGGGTTCGAGTCAACGAGGAAGTGAAGTAGGAACACTGCTGATCATCCTTTATAAAAGAAAGAAAAAAAAACCCTTTTATGATTAAGCTGTCTAAAATAAGACCTAATAATGTGTGTCAGGACAATGATTTTGGCCTTCCGGACCCTCTATGATTGAGCCCTAACATAAGACCTAATAATATGTACCAGGACACAGCGAAAAACGGTGTACTGGCAGTGCAGACCCTCCGCAACAACATAATGGCTTCGACCCTCTTAGCGACCATGTCCATCACGCTAAGTTCCGTCATGGCCGTCCTCATGTCCGGAGGAGGTGGGCCCCACTTCCCCACCTCCGGGAACAACAACAAGAAGCATGGTTTCTCCATTAAGTTCTTCTCCATACAAGTGTGCTTCCTTTTTGCATTTCTCATGCACGTGCAGTCCATACGTTACTATAGCCACGCGAGTATGCTCATCAATGTGCCGAGCGACATCGGGACGGGGAAGGGCGTGGTGGGCCCGGGTTTTGAGGATCGTGTGACAGTTGAGTATGTTTGTGGGACCGTGAACCGGGGGAGCTACTTTTGGTCGTTGGGCCTTCGGGCTTTCTACTTCTCGTTCCCATTGTTCCTTTGGATATTCGGGCCGGGCCCAATGGTGTCGTGCTGCGTCTTATTGGTTTTCTTGTTGTATTTTCTCGATTTCATTTTGGACTCGCGGTGCGCGTTCTCGTCTGTCCGGGCGCGGGAGGATGGGCAAAATAGTAATTTAGGCGGGGAGGGTAGCGTTTGATTTGTGAGGGCTTGTAAGTTGAAAACATTTTGGATATTTTTTTCTGGTCTAGTGTTTGATAAATGATAATAAGTGGTTTGTTTGAAGACAAACCCTTACCCAAGAGAAGAATAAGGCATGTATGATGGATTATGGCATTATTATGTGCTGGTCTAGCGTTATATAGCTAAAAAATCAACCACTGAGCAAAATGTATGGAAAAAAGGACAAAAGGAAAATAACGTCAAAATTTATTGATTATTCAATTCAAGTCCGAATTTTGATCTATTTCTTATTTCTACCCACCCACTCGCCGCTAGCTTTTGTAACTATAAATATTAGAATAATAAAAAGCCTATTATATTTATCAAGTTTATACTAGATTATGTTAGGATCAACAATTCAAAACCCAGTTCTCCATCAAGCCCAACATACAAGTTCAAATGGGGTTCCACTCTAAAACTAATTGGCAATAGAGGGAGTAGCCCACTAAGCTTATATATTGGACTTGAAACATATAATTTTTCGATGTGGGATTGGGTTTGCACACCCAACAAACCCCCCCTCAAACACAAGACCACATTGGGCCTCCCCTTAAACGAAATTCGTACGATCCGACCATCTTGTACCGCCGTTATCATCCACGGAACCTGCCGCCTGACCACACCCTTTTTGCCAGGAAGACTTTCGACACAAGGCACACGGATCTACCGGCCCTTCCGGCTCCACGGGGAACATGCCACGTCATCCACATCGTAATTGGGCTACCAACCGTGGCTCTG